GATCTGATCCGATACGCACTCCAGATCTAGCCTTAGATCGGGTCGTTTCGGCAGATATCGGTGCGATCTCACCTTCGATCTTCACTATCAGGATCTCATCCAGCCGGTTCAAGGTCATTAGATCCTGGATCTCCTCTTCAGTCTCAACCTCGATCCCACATTGTCGTTGTAGCTTGCTAAGCTGTCGGCACTTCCATTCCAATCTCGCTTAACATGCAATAGCTCGTGATCCGGCCTAAAAGTGTTAAACCCGCGCCTTGCAGTCGATCTCACCTCGCACTTGTGGGATCACCAGGTTCGAGTCTCCGCAGATCACCAGACGTCGTGGTTCCAGATCCTCCAACAGATCCAGACATAACAACCGTTCATGGTATTCCGCCTCGTTCACTGTCAAGCCTTCAGCATATCCGGATCTAGCTTTCAACACCCTCCATTCAGATAGCTTCCACAAGATCGCGCTGTAGGCAACCTCTCTTGACACGAGCGGATCCATCAAAGCTGACAACGTATAGATCCTCATTGCTTCCGATAGTGTGGATCGGAGCCTGGATCTTGCGTCTTGGCTCCTTTTTAGGGGCGATCGAGATTAACGTCTTATCCGCGTGTGATCTAGGCACGGTGCTTCCCACCAATTCTCCCAGAATCTCATCTTCACCCTTGACGCACTTGGTGATCTCAAGAGTCCATGGCGACAATAGAGCAGCCCACTGACCTAACCGTCCCTGCAAGGCTGTGGATCTGAAGAGCCACGCCAGAGTCGAATGTCGGGTCAGCATACGGATCGGACGTCCGACCAAAGCATTGTAGTTAAGATCTAGGATCCGCAGCAAGGCCAATACCTCCTTTTCCGCAATACCATAATTCGGCTCATTTGACTTCAAAGTACGACGCGCAAACATCACGGGGTAGTAGATCTTGTCATACTCCTGCATCAATGATCCAGAAATATCCCAATCGCTAGCATACACTACAATCGTAGCGCTTCGATCAGGGTCAAAGTGTCGTAAGATCGGAGTAGTAGCGAATTTGGTTTTAAGCACACTGAAGGATCGATAGGCGTGGATCCAACGAGGATCCACTTCAGTAAGATCTTGCGCCTCCAGATCCAGGGTCTTTCGGTGGTCGATCGCTTGATCTTCCTGTGATCCTTGATCCACGCTCTCCACGTCTAATATCCGTTGGATCTGCGTTTGGGTGGTGTCTTTCATCATTGCAGCGAAGTCGATTTCCCATAACTCGTACAGGACCGACGCATAATTCGCATAGTCCTCAATAAACCGGATGTAATAGTTCAGACTTCCCAAAAATGACTGCATAGCGCTGAGTGATCCTGGAAATGCAAGATCAGTCAGTGCCGACAGATCCTTCGGATTCGCCTCCAGTCCATTGTAGGAACCTTATGATCGAGGTATTCCACCTTAGGCATTCCCCAGAAACTCTTAACCACACTGATCGACAGATTCCACTTATCGGACGCCTCGAGTAGACCTTCGACTCGATCACATAGTTGATCCCGTTATCAGGATATCGTCGATATATGATCTACGCCCAAGCACCGATGGCTTGCCTGGCTCCACCTGTTCCCCATCCTCAAACACGTCCAAAATACTTCCGTGATCTTCAGACTTCGGGATCCGGGTGAATCTATATAGCGCGTTGTCGATCATACGTTGATAGATCTGGGGCGCATCCTTCAAGCCGAAAGGCATCCGATTCCACTCAAATAACCCAAAAGGAGTGATAAAAGAAAGCCGAGATCAAACGAGCACGATCCGTCATTTTCACCACCCAAAATCCACTCGCCATATCCAAAGAGCAGTACCCAAGTGTTGACTTCAGATCTTCAAGTAGGTCGTTGATCAAGGGCATTGGGTAGATCATCAGCTGGGTTAGTCTGTTATCATCAAGTAATCGATGCACAACCTGATATCTACTCCTTTCTTGATGATCGCCACGATCGGGGAAGCCCACGGTGATCTAGAGTAGTTGATCATCTTGGCGGACAATAGACCTTTGATCAAGTCAGCCAGCTTCTCCCTGAACTGGGTCCGCAACTTACGACACTTCAGGGCGATAGACCTCCCCCCTCCGACATCGATGTCGCATACAACACCTCTGGTCGCCGGCGGAAGGGCATTTCCTTTGCCGATCAAGAGGTGTCGGAACATCCAGATCCTTTGCCGAAGTCGATCAATTTCTTTTGGGGTCTGATCATCAGATCCACATAGCTGAATGTCCTCGATCTTTACTTCTTCCGTCGTCCCGGGCACTTCTGGCAGTACCGCCTCTGACCGTTCACATCTTCCACGTACAGATCACTTCCTTCATGGTAGTATACACATTCTTCATAATCTTGATCTGAGTCCCAGGTGAGGTCCAGATCCGACGCGCCTGGTTGATCTTCAACAACAGGCGATGGATCCATGTCCGTTTTTTGCGACATAGATGTGGCGCACTTGTCGTTCAACGGATCACTGGCCGCATGTCCCGTCCCAGATTGTACACTCGTCATTGATGGTGGATCAGATCCGCCACATTTCGACGGCGATATTCCTTGATCCTGACCTCTCGAATGTAGTTGATCCTAGCTGACGACCCCAATTCCGTCTCGACCTTCTTCCTCTCGCGTCTCCACTACACCTGTAGTTTCCTCCAACGACGAATTAGTCGCCCACGCATCTGACGTTACTTGATCGAGATCTTCTAGCGCCTCATTGGCCGTTACAGCATGCGATATAGAGTCTTCGTCTGCGATAGCCGACAGATCCGACTCCTCACATGCGACAGACGCTCGATTCAACGGTCGAATCTCCGACGGCGACTTGTCCGAAGGTAGGCAGTCAGGAATATCTTGACCTCGCCCCGACCTTCCGATACTGGATCAACGTCGCCTTCGGTCTCTGGAGTATTGCGCGCGGAGTTTCGTATCCGGATCGCTCCACCGTGGGCACCAGCGGGATCTTGACCTCCATTTCTTCGGATCGAGTGTCTGTCGTAGCTTCCAACGCTAGATTCTGCCACTCCATGTAACGACGAGAACCGATCGAGATGAAACCCGGTATCCGTGGCACATGGTCTCCGGCCAGCCAGATCCCGATCCATTGGTCCTGATGCAGGATCAACACCTCGTCCCCTATGTTGGTGAGCGATATATACTTCGTCCTTCCTGGTCCATAAGATATTGTCGGCATCCATCGATCCCCACACGTAGCCCACGGCTTGTCGTGGATCTACGACCTCAGGCGCAATGGCAGTTCCACCGACTCTCCTGCTTGGATCCGAAGGTATTGACCGATGTTTACGATCTTCGCCTTATCGCTATAAAGCTGCCGCCTCCCGCTAAGCCGGATCCGGACTTCATCCGGCAGACTGATCGACCCATGGGCTAGGTCTAGGTGGATCCCGGCTGGAACCATGAAGTCCATACCAAGTGTACCCAGGGGTTAATATCAGAGCAGGTATCGGTATGGTATCTTGATACTGGATGATGCAGAAACCTGTATCAGTATCATGTGATATAATCAATTCAAAACGACCAGGATCATTGATCCTAGGATGAATATTCAGTGGTCCTCACTGATACAAAGTGGTTTCACCTGTTAAATACAATTTACACCAGAATGCAAATAGACGCACAAAGGCTACGTGTTACATGCAAAACGAAACTCATATAGACCTTTGCAACCACGCAAACAGTAATGACGGGAAATACACCAGACACTGGAACGCAGTCCATTGGCACCCCTGCTCTTGGAGATGTAGAAGAACACGGAAAATACGCATCTAACAGCGCTATTGGCGAATTGCTTGAACTAGATGTACCGACCAGTACCAGAGATTGAAAATGGCCTGGATTTACAGGCGATGAACACTTGGAACCAGTGGAAGCCTCTGAGTGTAAATTGGTATGGAGTAGCTTCAGTAGGTATAAGTACAACAAGACCACGGTGGAAACAGCTTTCCTGTGATTTCAATCCTAGCTAGAATTTATCTAGCGAAGCCAATGTCTACAGCACAACAATACCGATTTTTCAGCCTCAGTGGTTACGTTGAGAATGAGTTGCGTACCCGTGTGGATGAAGATCGTCCAGAAAAGCTGTGCCTGATGAAGGCCATTGAGCCCCAATGCAAGCTCTTGTTGCATGAATGAAGTGGAATGGAACACGATCGCAAACTTACATATAACATTTAGGTATCAATACACATATCATTATAGTGATATGCATACTGATACTTGTATCAGTATCATTGATACAAAGGTGTAGGAATTGTACGAATACTAAATACAGCTCAAATTGTTGCTGATATGAATCCCTGAGCCAGGTATGTATTGATATCCTCCATGTTGTGTGTGCCGATACTAACCGTATGCTGTATATTTACCATGTCGGAAAAGGACACTTGATATAGCGACTTTTACGGAAGCCAGAACGGTCTCAGGCAACAGCCAACCTCGCGAGACTGAAGAAATAGAATATGACGGTGAGGTGAAATCTGATTACGAAGGTTCTGATGCTGGATCTGGTGAGTGATATGAGGAAATTGGCGAGTACGCACCACCAGATGAATGTGGCGAGGGCGAGAGCGAGCCCAACGAAGAAGACGCCGATAAACCTGTTGCGGTGCCTCCGAATTGGAGTCCTGACGATTCTCCAACCTCCAGCCCTGAGCAAGCCTCGCGAGCCAGACCGCCTACAGCGCCTGGCAAGAATACCGAACGCGAGAAAAAGAGCAAACGTGAGAAGAAAAAGGCTGAGCGTTTGCGGTGGAAGGATGTTATCAACAACTGGCGTCCAATCCAAGGGAATGACTTGCTCAAGATGGCCAGCGACAAAGCCTCACTGAAGCGGATGCAAACGGAAGGTTGGAAAACAGGTAAGCTTTATTTTGCTGTATATCATGCATGTCACTAGCTGATCTATGTTTGATGTAGATCCTGCAACGTTTCCGACCGCCCAAGGCTTCCCAGGCCTACACAATGAGGAGGGCCGGCCTACAACAGCTGCATTAACTCGCGCAGAGTCTCCGCTTGAGATGTTCCTTTTTCTTACTGCCTCGGGAAATATGGCTTGGTGTGGAACGGGAGACGAACCGTTACTACGAGCAAGAACTGCCGGCGAGAATGGATTCCAAGTTTCAATCACAGAGGGAGTCGAATGCAATGATAATGGAACCAATTTTGTCAAACGAGAAGCGTGTACATTCAAGAATTGGAGCTCACGAGATTTTGAACTGTATCGGCTTGCTGCTGGCGCGTATAATGTGCCCTCATATTCGACGAGGTTGCGCTCATCGGGCTACTACTTCGGCTGGGGCAATTCTAGCGGGAACGTTTAGGCGCTTTTTGAAGAGGGAGAAGTTTGAGCGTATTATGTGGAATCTACATTTTCCGGACAACAGGTCCGCTAGTGCACAGACCGATAAAGCGTTGAAGGTGCGACCCATTGCAGAGGACGTTTCTCAGCGGCTACACCACACCACCGGTTATCTCCTTCGACGAGGCTATGGTGCCTTCACGAAACAGGTACAACCCGGTGCGCCAGTTCATGAAGGCCAAGCCGCATCGATGAGGAACGAAGCTCTTCATGACATGCTGTGCGCAGTCTGCATACTGCCTGAGGTATTTCCACGTCTGCGCTGTGCAGACGTGTTTTTTAAATCACAAGTCGCACATGCTGCATGTGACGCGTCCATTATTGTTGGGTATGGAGCATTTACTGATATCACGTATATGTCTGTGCTCCCCATTCTGGATGTAATGCATGCGTAGATCTGAAGTGTGTTGTGGAAAAAGCAGTCGAGCCCCGCCTGAAGACGAGGACCCTGGAGATGATAACTCCGGTCCTGCTGCAACTCCAACAAAATTGGAATGATGTTCTTCCACGGAAGAAAAAAGGCCTGTACTATGCAGTGGTGACCGACCGCTTCTACACTTCCATCCAGATAATTCTACAGTTTCTAGAGCAGGCCGTGTACTCAGTGGGCAGTATCCAGACCAAAAAAACGGGATTCCCAACCTTCCTGCTGCAGAAGAAATCGAAGTGCCCGAAGCATATACCCCACGACCGTACTCAATTGGCAGTATCAATGTCTGTGCCACAACTGAGCACTATGGTCTGGTCCGACAACCCTATTGTGTACATGATGGGATGCGGGACCAGCACTTCGATGTTGGCATGTGGTACGTGTCGAAGATGTGAAGTATTTATGTAAATGTTTCTAACTACACAATGCTGGAATATATGTAGAACACCAACTATCAGGTACACAGGGGAAAAGGTGACAATACCCTGCCCGTCCGCTATGAAAGCGTACCATCAGTATGTGGGTGGGGTTGACGTCCATGACCAATTGCGTTTCCAACCTATTCTCTACAATTATCGCTGCGTTCCCGCAAATACTACAAGAGTCTTGCTCTGGGACTAATTAACATTGCAATTGTCAATAGCTTCATCATTTTTCGAGAGAATTGCAAGATGCGTGGGGACCCGCCGAGTGATCACGCCAGTTTTATTACGCAATTGCACGCGCTGCTTTTGGATGTCGGTTCTGCAGAATTTGCTGATACGGTACGCATTGAACTAGTATGCGTTTGCTCAAATTCTAACAGTGTATGGATAGATGTACTCACCAGGCCCTGTCACGCCAATACAGCCTGATGACAGCTCTAGTGGAAGGGCGCACAAGCTGGCAATGGACAATGAGTGGGTGGAAGTAAATGGCATTCGAAAGAGACGTGTAAGGTCTGCATAATTCGCAAGACCAAGAGCTCCAAGAGATAGGTAACGAGATTTTATTGTCCAAGGTGCAGCAAAGGCTCCAAGTGGTAAGTGCTATCAAGCTGGATATCCGTCGTGCTACTTGTAATCTAATACTGAATATACATGCAGTGTACTTATGCGATAAGGTACGCCACGACCACTACCCAAACAACAACCTCACCTGCTACGAGATTTGGCATCAACTCTGGAGCAATCGCAGTGAGCGTCCACGAGCATGTTGCGGACGTAGAATCCAGATACGAGGTCCCGGGAAGAAGCACGATGCTACAGATGAGGACGATGACGCTGAAGATGAAGATGAAACGCCTCACAACATTATTACTGCTGCGGACACTACCTCTGAGGCTGCCGAAGACACGGCAGCAGCATAGTAGGATGCTGCGCGTATGACGGGAGAAGATTCCGTGGCTATCGACGCAGAGGACACTGTGGCTGCCAACGGTTCGTTAGCAGAATGAGGTAGTGGAGGGTACCGTCGTTGCCGATGAAAATTTGGAGGAGGAAACAGGTGCTGATGCCGTTCTGGAAGAGGGATAGAAATAGTGTTGCTGAGTTAATAACTACCCCGAAGAGCATGCATATGACTTGGTTGCTTGGCGAGTTCTATACACAAATTCTCATTCGCAGTTTTTTTTGCTCAACACAAACGCGTAAAAACTATAAAAGGGCCAAAACTTTATCCGCGATATCAAGTATGCCGTCTACGGCTTTCGTGAACGACGCGATCAAT